TGACTGACTGACTGACTGACTGACTGACTGACTGACTGACTGACTGACTGACTGACTGACTGACTGACTGACTGACTGACTGACTGACTGACTGACTGATGGAATCTTTACTTACCAAATTCTGCATTCAATGAGAGCAGAGTCAGAAAATATGAAAATAAAAAGATATTCATTAAAAAAGTGCTTAAAATTGATCATACATTTGTGAGTGGATGAATAACGTAAGGCCTTATTTCAATGACTTTTATTGGAAAATAGCTATAACATTAATAGGCCATTTCACRGATCCCCTTACTCAACCTCAGCCTCGTCAGCAYGTAATTATTCTTTAGAAWTTGACTACAGTCCGCAGTAATGAAAGGAATTTACACATCAACAAACAATTGAAACACTTAAAAATTTCACAGGTTGTAGTCAATTTCTAAAGAATATATATTACACGCTGACGGGGCTGAGGTTGAGTAACGGGATCCGTGAAATGGCCTATTAAGGTAGATGTATACATGATTAGAAAAAAATAAATGTGAAAGACTACCCAATAACATCTGAGTGCCTCCTGTCGCGATGAGTCATTATTTTAATGATGAAATGCTATGTTTACAAAAAAATCTTCAACGAATAGGCAGTAATTAAGATAACTCTTTCCCCACCAGTGCACTGTTTTAAGGTTATTTAAAGCTGCAGCTACAAGGAATCAAAATGAAGTCCAATGTAGTGCTCTGTTTTAAGGAATTACCTCGTAAAAATTGCCCAAAACTAATCTAAAATGYCTTACAAATGTTTTATAAAGCTTAACTACAGTACTGCTAAATGAGTTATATTTGTGTTATTGGTTTGAYAATTCCCTTAAATAATGAACTCCAGGCGACTGAACCATGCATTATGGGCGACCGAACCCGACTCCCGGCAACTTGWCTTGGGGCGACTGAATGCACAGGTGACTTCACCAGATTCCGTTTTAAGGATATTAAAGCTAGAGCTATGTGTAATCAAATTGAAATCCAAACAAGTAACGAAGGTGTGTGTAACTTTACCCTATCTTTCCCCACCAGTGCTTTGATTTAAGGTCTAAGAGACAGTCTATAGATCTTGAGTGCTTTACTCCCCAAAAGGTGTAGTTAGCTCCCTTAAATTGAACCTCATATCAAAAGATTATTGGCTGACTAAACAAGAGAAGCTAATGAGGAATGCTTTGTTATCTTCAATCAAGATGGTGGTTATGAAGTAACATTCACAAGCTCTATTAGACCATGGTTAAAGACAGTCATTAAATCAACTTAAATTAACCCTCATATCAAAAGATTATTGGCTGATTTAACAAGAGAAGCTGATGAGGAACGCTTTGTTATCTTCGATCAAGATGGTGGTTATGAAGTAACATTCACAAGATCCATTAGACGTTGGTTAAAGACAGTCATTAAATCACATTAAATTAACCCTCATATCAAAAGATTATTGGCTGATTTAACAAGAGAAGCTGATGAGGAACGCTTTGTTTTCGTCGATCAAGATGGAGGCTATAAAGTAACATTCACAAGCTCTATTAGACCATGGTTAAAAGACATTCTGATTAAACTTGAGTGTTTTAATCGCCAAAAAGGGTATTTTAAGCCCCCCCTTCTTCATATGAAGACAGTGTTAGACCATGGCACAAAAAATGTTACTTAGGTCACTATGAATATTCACCATGTGCAGTGACGATGTCTGCTTCCTCTGTCAGGACTCTCCTGTTCCAGTTGATACTGCTACTTAAGCCGGTGTTGAGGTACAATGTTCCTTCACCTGTTCTGTAGTCTTTGAATAAACAAAACATATTTCTATAAGTGGCAAAGACTTAATGATTATCATTGACAATATATATATATATATATATGTGAGGAATTGAAGCTGGGAACTCAGTGGTGAGTGAAGATTACACTTCCACTTTCACACCCTTAATGACAATGATGATGATGATGATGATAATGCTGATGATGATCTTGATGATGATGGTGACTGATGATGATGATAATGATGATGATAATGATGATGATGATGGTGATGATGATGTTGCTGACGATATTGATGATGATGATATTGATAATGATGATGATGCTGATGATGATCCTGATGATAGAGTATAATACCACTATCCCACCCTTTATTTCCTTATTACATATCCTTAGTACATTTTCCAGGAATACCCTCTTCAACGTCCAGGACTCGAATGAGCATATTACATACCCTCAGTACATATTCCACCCACAGCATTACGCCTGGGGTTTCCAACATATGCAAGACCAATGACACCATCAGCAAAGTCTTGATATGTGAACAAGTGAGCGAGGCAGAACTTCTTCCATTCTGACTGATAACTGAACACCTAAAAAAAAGATACAGTGTACAAATTTACTAAATATATATCCAACATAAATAAACACCTAGAAAAAACAAAGACACCGAGTGACACAACAAATTTACTAAATATAAAGTACAACAGCTCCACACTGTAAATTGCCGAGGTATCTAAAAGTCATAAATATGTTATACATTCAAAGTTTACCTTCAGTAAAGATTTAATGTTCCATAACCCTCTCTCCATATTGTAATGCACACCATCACCTGATGTAGTTGCCCCTTTGTGGACTAACACCTGCAATCAAGAAAATACCAGAAAAACACTTGGTCAAAATATACTTGTTGGTAGGTTGTCAGTAGGGTGTTGGTAGGTTGT